TAGCCCCCGTTAGACTGATGAATCCTTCTGCAGAAACACAAAGGACAAGATAGGGTAACAGCCGAATCTGGCCCCTTATTTGATATAAAAATCAGAACACTGTTAAAATTGTGATAGTTTGTAGTTAAGAAGTTAAAATGATGCTTACTTTAAGACAAGCACTAATTTTGATTCAAAGCTTACATCGAAGCCACTAGAGGGTGCAGAAATAGGACATTTTCCCGAATTTCCTCATTTCTGGTGAAATTTCATCATATTTGGGATACATTCCTTTTCGGAAAACAAAGAGCACAAGCTTGCCTATCTGAGATTTTTACACATAAACTGCATCTAATATCACTGTATAAAATATATAAATTTGGTAGGTAGGCAAGCGTGTGCTCTATGTTTTCCGAAAGAAAATGTGCTGTAAAGTTAATTAAAATTTGAATAAAAATGAGAAATTTCGAAAATTGGCCTGATTCCTGACCTCACTGTGACCCCTGTATATACTAAATCTTAAAACCAACACTCATTTTGTAGCAGGGGTGACAACAGGTTTTTATGGATAAACTGTTGGATCATTCTGAAAGACACTCAAAATCGGGGGCTAAATACTGGTCTTACCCTATCTTGTCCTTTATATAAAGGAACATTAATTGCTACTTTGTGTGCCATTGAGAACGTCTTTGATAAGGCCAGTTACTTCCAGGACAATAAAAGAAAATTACCTGACCATCTCAAGGATTTGTACGCAAGGTCAGTTACAGGATTGAGAGCAGAAAATGCCAAGGCTGTTAAAAACATGCGTTTGAAGTATTTACACCTGTTTGCTGCATCGGATACCGATTTAGGTCAAACAGAAGCTACAGAGCATACTATTAATACTGAAACAGCCACACCAATTAATCAGCCTCCAAGGCGCATGCCCATTCATATGCAAGAGAAAACCGACCGCTAAGTTTATGATATGCTGAAAAGGGAAATCATAGAGATATGCACAAGTCCATGGTCATCCCCAGTCGTGTTAGTAAAGAAAAATGATTGAAGCACAAGATTTTGCGTCGACAAGAGGAAGTAGAATAATATTACTATTAAAGATGCATACCCATTTCCAAGAATCGACGACTCCCTTGATCAGTTATCAGGAAAGAAATACTTTTCAACCTTAGATCTTAACGCCGGGTATTGGAGAGTTGAAGTGGCTTCCCATGAGAGAGAAAAGACAGTGTTTGCTACCAGAAAGGGCCTATACAACGTCAAAGTCATGCCATTTGGTTTTTGCAACGCCCCGGCGACGTCTGAGCGATTGATGGAAACGGTCTTTAGAGGTCTGCAATGGCAAATTTGCCTTGTATACCTCGATGATATCATTGTAGTTGGCGAAACTGTAGATGATATGATTAAAAATCATACTCAAGTGTTCGACCGTTTAGTAGCAGCTGGTCTTAAGTTGAAAGCCAGAAAGTGCACATTGTTTGCTACAGAGGTAGAATATTCGGGATATATTGTGTCCCAAAAGGGGATATCAACAAGTCCAAATAAAATAAAGTTTGTGCAAGAATGGTAAGTTCCCTCCAATGTATCAGAGCTCAGGTCATTCCTCGGGTTGTGTAGCTACTACAGGCGTTTTGTAACAAACCTTGCATTAAAAGCCAAGAAAAGAGATCATTTTATTTGGAGTGACAAATGCCAGGAAGCATTTAATCTACTTCGCAAAAAATTGTCAACATCACCAGTCCTGGCCCATCCAGATTTCCATGTTTTTTTAGACACTAATGCCAGCAGTTTTGCTATCGGTGCAGTGTTGTCTCATATGCTAGACGGTATTGAGTGGCCTATTGCTTTTGAAAGCAGGAGTCTGACAAAATCTGAAAAGAAATATTGTGTTACTAGGAAGGAACTATTAGCTGCCGTTTATTTTGTGAAAAACTTTGGACAATACTTGTATGGTCGTCAATTTGTTTACGTTACGTACAGATCATAGCTCACCCAGGTGGCGAATGAACTTTAAAGATCCTGAGGGAGAGCTTGCCTGATGGATGGATATTCTCTCTACATCTTTCTACATCTACTATATAAAAGTACTGTCTTCAGGGAAATGTGGAAATTACTGGACATCCAGAAAACGCATACCACCCCGTACCATCCCCAGTCAGACGGAATGGTTGAGCGTTTTAACAGACCGCTCACAGCAATGCTCAGTGCGTTTGAAAATGATCACCATAATGACTGAGATGTGCACTTACCTTTCATTATGATGGCATACCGCAGTTCAGTACAAGAAACTACTGGCATGACGCAGAACATGATGATGTTTTGGAAGGGAAGTTGGTACACCATTGAATCTCCAGTATGATATGCCGCCTCAAATAAAAGACACTCCAAATAATAAATGGGTATGGGAGTTGCAGGAACGTCTGGAGAAGGCTCACTCCTTCGACCAAAACGAATCAGTCAATGGTGAGACAAAATTATTATCATGGCCGTAAGTTGACGTGGAAAAAGTTTTAACCCGACGAGAAAGTGTATGTTTATTTCCAAAGAAGAAAACATGGAACATCACCCAAGTTAACCAGTTTCTGTCAAGGTCCTTACAAGGTTAAGAAAAAGATGTCAGATTTGACATAACTTGTAAATTGTGGACCAAAGTGTTCAGACCATGTCATTCATGTAGATAGAATGCGCAAAAAGCGTATGCAAGTTCTATCAGGCAAAAATGATAACATAGTGAATATAGAAACTGATGACTTAAGGGATGATTTTGATTGTCAAGACAACTTTGAATAAGATCATCATGCTAGTTATGATGATGTCCCCTCTGATTTTAATCCAGCAAGCAATAATCGTCCAAGTAGATCTCGTAGACCACCTATCTGGTTACATGATTTAAAGACCGACATGTTAATTAACTGATTCTAAGTTGTACATAGATTTATATATAGTTAAAAAAAAAAGAAGAAAGGGATTCTTTGAATATAAGTTTAAAACTGTTATCTGTTTAACCTTTTTCTTAATTAAGAATCATTTACTTTTTAATTTGTATATGTGGGGCGCATGTCATCGGAGGCATGGGTAGTGTGACAATTCCAGAATTTTAAGGTACGACCATGCAGAGTCCTCAATTAGTCATTGTAAACATCACGTGACTTTGAAAGGGTATATATACTGAGACTCTGCAGTCATCTGTTGTTATTCATCAGATGCAGCCAAGGAGAGAAGACGATAGACAATGTTCTAGGACTGTATAATTATAATAAATAAAGTTTGCGGTCATTAATTCCTCGCCTGTGTTAACATTTTGAGGGGAATTTGGAAGGCCATTTGAGGTTTGCCAAATCAGTGTTAAGGCCTTCCACGAAGAGGGTAATCTCAGGTAAAGAGGCTAGCCATAAAGTTTGCCTGCATTGGCTGACTAGTCCGTCAAGGCCGCTATACTCATTGTCCGTCCTGAATAAGGCATCCTACAGTGAGTGTAGAGATTGAAGGGCAATCACATATACTGTCCGTCTTGAATAAAGCATCCTACACTATATGCGGTAGTCCGAGGGCGACTGGGCATTCGTTTTAGACAAGTGGTAGGTTAGGTCTAAAAGATAATTTATTGTTGCTTGCCTCCGATTGTTGAATTGATTTTACCTTTTGATTATTGTTTACCTAGATAAGGTTAAGACATATTTGTATATTTCGGCAGTCCATTTAAATCATACTTATCAATTTTAAATCAGTTTATTTTGAACACCACAAACCCTGGAAATGACCATGTACGATCCCAGTGATTGATTGTAAATACGTTACAATATCAATATAAAAAAAATACCGGTTATTGTCAGATTTTGTTTTTGATTTCATGACTTGATATTTTTATGCATGAATACCTTTGGCGTTTATCACTCAAGCTTTTCGATTGATCAAATCATTAATTCAAAAAAAAAAAAAATAGACACTTATTCCTTAAATACAAAAATATGAACAATGAGGGAAAGACGAACTGTCTGACACAATGTCGCTCTTGTCAATTACTCCGCCTAATATGATTTATGAAATCACTGATTTTATCCTCTCCCTCGCAGTCATCCATTATAACGCTTTTTTTACCATTCCCTTTATTTAATGCAATATCACGCATTAAACTTTTCCTAGCAATCACAAATTTTTCACGCACTTTCAAAAGTAAATGTAATTTTCAATTTAATGTCAAAACCCTTCTTTTTTATGCTTGCAAAAATCACATCAAATAAAAAAATCTTGAAATTCCATTGGTTGTCTCTACCCACATGACAATACACCCTCAACGTGACCTACCAACTACATGTATGTATTAAATATACATGAAATTTACCAACCACATTTCATCAATATACTGTTTTCACACATGATTTTGCTCTATAATTTAAGGAGGAACAGGTCCTTTAGCTGAAAAAAAATTGTCAATGATTTTTTTCGTATTTTTTATATTACTAAATAAATTTAATATGTCCATAACATTTTAAAACGGTCCTGTCATGGGATTTCTTGACTTTTTCAAAAGATATCGCCCCCAAAATACCGCCCTGTGGAGAATTTGTATTGAGATTAGATACTTCATGTTTACGGGCCCATAACGGAAATTTTTACGCACAAACGATAAATATGATTGATAACACTATATACTCAAATATTTCAGAATATTCATAGTGTTAAGATTATCTGAAAGCAATTGCATTAATTTTATATGGTATTTGGGTGTGATAATTCTGCATTTTTCAAGGCAGCTTTAACAACAAAAGACTCATTTGGGGAAAAAAAACTGTCAATAAATATTTCTAAATTAACTATTGAATGTCTGTCGTCATATCGTAATTAGTTACTGCATAAGTATCACAGGGTGAAGCTTACCTCAATATCGCCAAGGATATCGTTGAATTAGACTTAAGCATGATAAAAACTCTTCACGGTTGTATTTTCCGAGTGCAGGAAATCAATTGTGACGTCACACGAAAACATAAACATTCAAAATTATCTAAATAGAGAGAATCTCTGTTACTAAACACGAAAAAATGTTAATTTAAAAAAAATCTGTCTCAGGAATTTATCACGATACATTGACTCAGACCTTTTAATTTAAGGAATAACTGTCTTATTTTTCGATTTCATGACGTAATCAATCGATTGGCTTGCGTGATAATTTGCATAAACGCCGAAGCCCTGTCTCCCCTTTATTTGTAAGTTAGTTTCATAACTGATGTCACAATGCGTCAGACGACATCAAAACAATAGATGATTCTCTAAGTATCTTCGCTCGTTATGAAGATAATACTATGTTTTCCACTATCGATGATGTGCTTGCATATAAAAATAATTACACAGTGATTCCATAAATAAAATCAATAAATGTTTCCTTAGTTCTCCTGCCGAATGACATAACTTTATTTTGTTAAAAAAAGGCAAACATGTATTCATAAAAAGACAGTAACTTGACATTTTTATTTAATTTGGAAGGATATTTCTTTGCTTGGTATGATATGAAGGAAAATAACTTTTTAGACGGATGATTTAATAACCTTAAATAAAATATCGCCAAGAATTATATCATGTATTTTTGGTCACATGTTTCAACTTTTTAGAAAGAGAGTTTTATATGCCATATTTTTATTAGGTAAAAATATATAATTAAATGATTGGTGAAAAGAGTACGAGATATATGGTGTAACTTTTTTTTTCATTTTAGCAATCAACCAATCTTTGGAGTGTAAAGCAACTACGGTACATGTATCTCTGTATGTGGTTGTTGCAGCTCTCTTTACAAGTGTTTTGCTCAACATAATTTTTGTTGTTCGGTAAGTTAATTTTCCATCATCTTTTTAAAAAGAAACTATATTCAATTTATGCCGCTATGAGAAATATACTTTATTTTACACCATAGGATAATTCCGCATATCCCTGCGCAGTCTGCAAGATATTCGCCTTTATCGCAGAGCAATTATCATATAACCTTTTATTGCGAAATCGCAACCTTTGCTTTTCTTGACAGAGTAACCAATCAAAATCTTTGATTTTGTTGCGCCATTTTTGTTAGCCTGGTAGTGCGTTGAAAAATTTAATAAAAGATTAATTATTTGTCAGCTCCTTAAGGGAAAATCATCGGTGCCTGTAATTTATGCCGTGGAAATTATCCTCGTATCGTGGATCCTATTACAGTGGAAGTACAGATGGTTTTTTTGGCAGAACTCGCTACACACTGCAAGGGTTGCGGTTCACTTTGACAACCCCCATGAAGAATTTGAAACGCAGGGAAAGCTTTCGTCCATGCATTGGAGAAGTTGTAGGAATGCAGTGATTGTGCATTCCTGTCAATTAAAGGCAGTATTGTTTTCGGTCATTATAACAAAACAAATAAATTTTTAACGTTGTTTACATATTTGGAGCAGCTTTAAAATCGTTATTTTATTCATACGTCATTTTGTTTAAGCTACATGCCTTTATAAAATACAAGCTAACTGGTGGTGCAACAGGGCAAATCATTGTCATAATTTATATTTATTTACCATATGTACCTGTTACCACTTCATGGGTTCTCCTTATGATTTGTCTTTCTGATGTTCAGTAAAATCATATTATGGAAATAAAAGCATTTATGTTGAAACTGTTTTCCATTTAATTATTTAACCTGTATCGTTTCCCTGATTATGATACCGCCTTTTCATGGAGAGAATTATCGGTTGTCTCGGCGAATGAAATCGCACTTACGTATCATGCGCACTTAATCTATATTTACAGTCATTGTTCCATTTGAATATTCTGCAACTGCATCAAATTGTGAATTTTATATGACTGTTTGATTCTGCAATTTTATTTATCCTGTTTACACTGGAGTTAATAACTTGCCTGATTGTGGAACCTGTTTACGCATAATTAATGGCGGTGTTATCCTCGTTGGTTGATCGAATCATTGTTTACACATGGAAATATTGGCTTGTTTATAAACACATCCAAGTGTTAAATCAAGAATTAATCTTTCTTCAATGTGCATGCACGTGTTTAATCATTCAGCGGATCAAACTTTCTTCTATAGTATATTTATGATAATTAGTAAATTAGACATTTCTATGTGTGCCATTTTTAATAGTTCCGTCATAAGAACATTGTTTTTTTTACTTATGCAAAATATATGTTGTGTCATTGCGATTTGAATGCATTTTTAATCTTCTGCATTATGCAGTATGCAAATCTGAGAAAATAAAATAAGCAGAGAGCAATTGATTTTCTGCACAAAATGTCAACGGGGGTTATCGGTCAATTATCCTGTCCGCTGATCTACACATGTTTGCTTTTTTATGAATCTGTGTTCGTGGTCAATCGGTCACCACGGGATGTCATCTGCAGTATCGTGAATTGTACTCTAGCCTCACCGGGGGTTTTCGGGGAGTCTCTCCTATCCTCTCTGATCCTGGATCCGGATGGAGTCCACCTTCAGTAAACTCCATACACTGTTCAGCCTATGAGGAATGTTCCTTTGCTTGTGCATTTTATCATCTTTTCAAAGAAATACGACCAGTACACCAGTTTATGTTCTTTATCATTATTATATAGCCTTAATTAAATTATGCTCAGCTCAGGGCTATATAACGAGTTGTGTACTGTTCCTTACAATACCTTGCATATCCAGTTAACAATTTACAGAATGTTTAACACAATTTTTCTAATGATGCGAAGATATCAATGAAGTTGATAATCATTTTTTTGCAGCATCAGAAAAAGGGAACATTTGGTAATTCAATGCCATATATATGAAGGCATATCAAGTTTATTTAGAACTGCCTTAAATATAATTCTTAAGGGGCATTATTCCTGTAAGGAAGACTCAGCAATGTCTAATATATTTTTATGTTCATCAAAATCCTCATTAATGGTTTTTGAAACATTCAAATGCAATTTATCATTTTTTATGCTATTAATAGAAATATTGGGAGAAAAATGGTTCAATATTTAAAAAATATATACGAGTATATATTTGAAATGCAAATTATGCAATCATTCTGAATCAGTGAAATGTTTTTCAATATTTCATTATAACCTTGCAATCAATGTCAATTATATTTTCAAGATATTGTTTGACTTGTACAGTGTGCAGTAGAAAATTTGATAATGTTTTGTATATTCCATTTAAATTAGTACTCTATAGCTAACAATAATATTTTCAATGGCATCATAATATCAAAAAGAAAAAAAAAACAAAAAAAAAAAACAAAAAAAAAAAGAAAGGAAAAATTATAATATGCATCAAATAAATAAGAAGAGACATTAAGAAATATGTTCAAGATAATTGTGAAAACATTCATTACATTGTTTCAATATTTGTGGAAACATTCAGTATAATGTCGATTAGTTTGGTTTTGGTTTTTTTTTTGTGAATGTTTAAAGATTTGATGGAACCATTCAGTATGCTGATTAAAAGTTTTCCTGGAAATAAAGTATTTTATTTCAAAATTTTGTGCAAACATACAGTTCAATGTTTCATTGTTTTTGTGCAAACATTCAGTCTAAGGTTTCAAAGTTTTTGAAGAAACATTCAGTATGCTTCATTGTCTTTGTGAAAACATTCATTATAATTAATATTTCAAAGTTTTTGTCTTCAAAAATTCAGTATAATGTTCCAATGTTTGTGTCGAAACATTCATTATTATATTTCAAGTTTTGGTGGAAACATTCAGTATAATGTTTCAAGTTTGTTTTTTTTTTTTCGGAAGCATTCAGTATAACGTTTCAAAGTTTATGTCGAAACATTCAGTTTCATGTGTCAAGTTATTTTGAAGCATTTAGTATAATGTTTCTCGTTTTTGTGGAAACATTCAGTATGATATTTTAAAGTTTTTGTAGATACATTCAGTATATTGTTTCGAAGTTTATTTCTAAGCATTCAGTATAAAGTTTCAATTTTGTCTTGGAAACATTCAATATAATGTTTCAAAGTTTTTGCGGAATTATTCAGTATCATGTTTCGTAGCCATGTATTAATGTTTGTGTAAACATTCAGTATAATGTTTCAAAGTTTATGTTGAAAAAGTAAGTATAATGTTTAAATTTTGTTTTGGAAACATTCAGTGTAATGTTTCAAGTTTTGATGGAAACATTCAGTATGATGTTTCAAAGTTTTTGAGGAAACATTCGGTATAATGTTTCAAAGGTTTTGTGGAAACATTTAGTATAATGTTTCAAGTCCTTGTGGAAGCATTCAGAATAATTTTTCAAGTCTTTTTTGTGAAAAAATTCAGTATAATGTTTCAAAGTTTTATGGAAGCATTCAGTATAATGTTTCATAGTGAACGGTGTTGGTGGAAACATTCAGTATAATGTTTTATAGTGTTTGTGGAAACATTCAGAATAATGTTTCAAGTTTGTTTTGGAAACATTCAATATAATGTATCAAAGTTTTTGTGGAAATATTCAGTATTATATTTCATAGTCACGTATATGTGTTTGTGGTAACATTCAGTATAATGTTTCAAGTTTATCTCGAAACATTCGGAATAATGTTTAAAGTTTGTTTTGGAAACATTCAGCATAATGTTTCAATTTTTTATGGAAACATTCAGTATTATGTTTCTAACGTTTTGTGGAAGCATTCAGTATAATGTTTCAAAGTCATGTATTAGTGTTTGTGGAAAGATTTAGTTAAATGTTTCAAATTTATGTCGAAGCATTTGGTATAATATTTAAAGTTTGTTTCGGAAGTATTCAGTATAATGTTTCAAGTTATTTTGTGGAGACATTCAGTATAATGTTTCAAAGTTTTATGGAAGCATTCAGTATAATGTTTCATAGTGTTTGTGGAAACATTCAGAATAATGTTTCAAGTTTGTTTTGGAAACATTCAAAATAATGTAGCAAAGTTTTTGTGGAAATATTCAGTATTATGTTTCATAGTCACGTATATGTGTTTGTGGTAACATTCAGTATAATGCTTCAAGTGTATCTCGAAACATTCGGAATAAGTTTGTTTTGGATACATTCAGCATAATGTTTCAATTTTTTATGGAAACATTCAGTATTATGTTTCACGGGTTTTGTGGAAGCATTCAGTATAATGTTTCATAGTCATGTATTAGTGTTTATGGAAACATTTAGTTTAATGTTTCAAATTTTATGTCGAAGCATTTGATATAATGTTTAAAGTTTGTTTCGGAAACATTCAGTATAATGTTTCAAAGGTTTTGTTAAAACATTCAGTATAATGTTTCAAGTTCTTTGTAGAAACATTTAGTTTAATGTTTCAAGTTCTTTGTGGAAATAGTTCAGCATAATGTTTCAAGTTCTTTTTGTAAACAGTTCAGTATAATGTTTCACAGTTTTTGAAGAAACATTCTGTACATACCATTTTATACATCTGTGGAAACATTCTGAACAATTGTTGTAAAAAAAATCATATCAGTAGAATCATTGTTTCATATTTCAATTTGAAGAGAAAAGAACTTTCAGTATTATGAGAAACTTAAAATTGATATTTTAATCATTCTTTTCATGCAGTACATGTAGCATGTCATCGAGACTGTTCTGAGAATCTCAATGTAAAAATGTTTCTCATTTTCTTGGGTTCCAGTATGTACATAGTCCTAGGCTTCAGTAGTGCATTATATTCATACACTATTTACCATGTTACATGTAGCAGTACATCGATGCCAAAGGCCAACCTGAACTATAAAGTGATCAACGCCTCACTTCAGTACCAACCAAGGCACAAAAGGGAGTGGCAATGTAGCTTACAAATTTCAGATGGCGGAAATTGTGCATTATTGGAACTTCATCCCAGCTGCAAAATTGTTCAACAAAAATCCTAAAGGAAGAGATGCCGCTGAATGAGCTAATCACAGTCGCATGAAAAATCTTGTTCCCAAAAATAAAAAAAAATGCTGAAACAGTGCTCTCAAATGGAACCTCAAATGCGGATATATGATCAAGCGACCAACAAGGTCATTCAAGTTTAGGTACTCTGGACACGATGCCAGCTGTCTTCATAGTAAACTGTTGGAAAATGATGCCACCAAAGTTTGAAATCCACACTACCAGGAAGGGCAAGCTACAAACTCAATATGCTCAGGCTCCTCCTATGGATTCTATGTAGATATCTGTGTTGAATGGCAAATATCATTTTCTCAAACATGTACAACCAAGGAACATCATACATAGAGTAGTCAGCATCTGTCATTTATCTACTGTGCAAATTAAGATAAGGCAATGCATAAGCTTCTTATGTAGCATTAATTGTTCTATCATTAATTTTGTAAATCTGGTCATGAGACCAGCAAATGGTTTATCCATTATTGCACAATGTACATTCTCTATTGTCTTCAACTCTGTGTAATTCAGCTCAATTTTTTATGAGGTCAGCACTTTGTTGCTTTTGTAAAATGTATTTTAGTTACTGAGCCCAGTATTGATGTACTTATAATGTCTCTATAATCTGCTTACTAATGTCAATGAGTTCAGTATTGAAACCGGCCTGCATAACCTTTCAGCAACATGTAAGATAATGGCTACTTATTTAAATTGTATGTTTAAATCTGCCAGCATAGACTTGAGCTAAGATACATGGTTCAGCGGATAGCTGCTCATGTAAATTGTATGTAAAAATCTGCTTGCATAGTCTTGAGTTGAGACACATGAGTTCTGCTGATAGCTGCTCATGTAAATTGTGTGTCAAAATCTGTTTGCATAACCTTGAGTTAAGATACATGAGTTCAGAGGATAGCTACTCATGTAAATTGTATGTTAAAATATGCTTCCGTAGTCTTGAGTTAAGATACATGAGTTCAGCGGATAGCTGCTCATGTAAATTGAATGATTAAGATACATGTGTTTAGCGAATTGCTGCTCATATAAATTGTGTGTTGAAATCTGCTTCCATATTACATGTATTAGTTTAAGATACTTGAGTTTAGCGGATAGCTGCTCATGTAAATTTTATGTTAAAAATTCTGCCTGCATTGTCTTCAGGTTAGTTTAAGACCTTTATAATATACATATATACTAAACATTCCATGCAGTGATTTTGGCTTCCCTTGATCCACAAGTGAACAGCTAACAGGTGAATGTTAATTAATGTCTTTGTTGCATCAGTATTTGTTATTTGTCAAGAACATATAGTCTTAAAAATATTTGATATCATATGAACTTCAACTTCAATGTTCTTATATATATTTAAAAAAAATACTTCAAAAAATGACATTAATTTCTGTATTTTACTTTTTTTTTATAAAAATGTTTTCTTTTGATTTTTCTCCTTTTTTTGGCGTCAACTCCTCACTGCGCAATTGTTTGGACGCCTCCAAGGATTTACTCATTTATGTTTTATTTTATGCATATTTACATGTATTTTGATCTGTCCACTGCATATAAATTTCTAGTCAGTCTCAGGGGATTACACTTGTACTTTTCACCTATGTACATGTTACCTGTATTGTTTAATATTAGGTGATCCCCCTTAATGAATTGTTATATATTTTACTTTATGTCATTGAATTAAATGACATTCGACAAAACTGCATACATGTATTTGTGTTTGGTTGTTTTTCACTGCACTAATTCAGGCTGATATTTCTCATAGAAGGCATAAAATGTTTTATACTTACACGCTGACATCAAGCAGAAATAATATTTAATATTAAAAATCAATTATTTAATTTTGGTTGTAATATGTCATCTAATAAGCAAAATGATTTATTTCATATCGAATTATTTATTGCGTAGGTCACAGTGAAATACCTAAAGAACAATTTTTTTTGCTCGACGTTACAAAAAAATATACTCAGTTGAAATCGGTTTTGAGTGGTATATCCTATTGTATACACGAAAAGAGAGAAAATCGAAAGAAATGAATTAAATCTTTTAAATTAAACTGGTAAACCTCTGGTTGGAATAGTTTACACATTGAAAAAAAAATACGCGGTTGATAAAGCATACACTATCCCAATTCAGGTCATACATTCTAACGTGGTTGGTTTTGTCTGTTAATTTATTCCTTAAAATTTCAATATTATGTTCATGATTATTTTGATTGTTTAAACCATTTTCGATTATATATGTTCATTTTAACAGAAATGCCAGAAAACAAATCCTGAACAAGGCAAATGAGGAGGGGAATGCAACGAGAGATGCAAAAGAATATATACTTGACAGAATTGAAGATACAGATCAAGAACTCGGACAATTTAAATATTCCATCTTGGAATGACAGAGGAGAAGATGATGGAGACTATGCGGAACTCGAATTGTGCCAACCCTCTCCACATGATGAATTACGCGATTATAGTCAAGGTTTGACCATCTGTGTATTGCCTTGGGTTTTGGGGGCTTCTTGCGACAAATTGTAAATGATGCCATCGGAAGGACAGGTGTATATATCGGAGCAAAGCTTTATCCAAGTTCTGATTGAACTTGGTTTTGTGACTGCAATTTATTTTCCATTTTATTTCTTTTATATTTTAAATTGAACATTTATATATATATACATTCAATATATCCCTGTTTTTCTTGATGAAAAGATTTCGAAACTTCAATTTACATGTAAATAAAGAAAATGTTTTAGTTATATACATAAGAGAGAGAGAGAGAGAGAGAGAGAGAGAGAGAGTTCTTACTGTCAATAATATTTTTATGTAAAAAATATATTAGTAGTTGCCTTTTGTTTGCTATTTTGCCTTTGAATAATTAAAGAAAATAATTATTTAAATTGTTCTTATACTAGACTTTAAAATAAGCAAGCATTCTGAGAGAAATACATAAACAATATATATTCCATACCGGGTGTTCCTTTCTCTTTAGGATGTTAATTCATAAAACTATTTAATATCTAAGATACCCCGCAAGTTTCAATAAATAATTTTAACATAACAATCTCCTTTAGATAATTAATTAAGTGCGGCACGAATTCGATCTTAATCCATATTATGAAAAATTGAGGATCCCATAATTCCATCAAAAAATCAATGAAAATGAAAATGAATCTTCTGCACTAGAGAAAGTGTGGAAAAACAAGTAGGAGAGACAGACAGAGGACAGCAACACGGACGGACAGACGGACAGATACAGAAGAAACCTTCGGTTACACCGTTATATATGGGACTTTTTATTGGAAAAATTATTAATATCAATTGAAAGACATTTTCAACTTATAAATTTTTTTTAATTCACCCTGAAATGTAATCTTACACGGATATTACTATCGCCCATTATTCTTCATCCACGAATTAAACTCTCAAGGAATTTGAAGCTCCATGAATATGTAATCTTACTGAAATTAATGAAATTTCTTATTGTCACATCAGTAAAGATCTGCTGTGAAAAGCCGATACTTCTGTGTCTCATCAATATAGAGAATGTACCGAACACCTCAAACAATGTACTTTTCTTCGGAAGAGAGAAAGAGATGTATAGGTAGGAGACTGAAATCTTTACAACTGAAACATATGGAGATAACGATCAGTGTATACAATAAAAAAATCTTTAAACAATAAAAAAGAAGCAGAGAAAACACAGACTTCTCAATCATCAGATGTAAGATCAAATGCCTCCCCTACTGACCGGTGACACCCGCTGTGTGCTTTTTGTCTAGTCAGGTAATATCAGAAAAATACGTCACCAATTCAGTGTATAAATAATGGACTAACAATTGGTATGAAAATTGTCCGTATTCATTTGACTCAATGATAAGCTGGTATTTTCTGATAAGATTTTTGCATCAACTATCGAAAGTATTTCTGTTCTTTTTTATAAAAGAGGCAGCGGATATATATATTTTTTTGCTTCATTCGCATTTTTGTAAATCATTTCCCTCAATTAAGATATTGTTCATATGTAGAACATAGTCCTCCGTATCCTTTTAACTATGGGATATAAAATCAATAGACAACTGAAAAGATTTTGTAAAATTGTTGGGAGACCAGGCGCCGTGGTCATGAAACATCTTAAGCTTAAGTCAAATCTTTACTTTATGAAAAAAATGTCGTACAGGTCTAGTAGATCAAAAGTAAATTAAACTATTTTTCAATATTGCTTTACAAAAGTATAACTGGTATCTGCAAATTATTAAATAAATTCCTCAACCAATGAACATTTTATAGGCAATTGAAATTTTGACCTAAGTCTAAGTTTGTTGCATGACCCTGGGGCCAGGTCTCTAAAAATTACATTAATACATGTAATACTATAATTACCTAGAGTTAAGTATCATTTACTTATTTCATTTTATTCGTGAGAGTGAAGTTTGATTAAATATATGCACGTACAAATAAAACAATCGATATTACCAATGCATAGAACAAAGGATAGTATAACTATTTATTGTGAAATAATGTAGAGTTCACTGAAACCGTTTTAAAGACTATTATCAATAACATTTTCTAATATATTTTTAAGAACTTGAAAAAAACATTCGATATTAAATTGAACAGCTGTCTGTAGTAATTAAGCATGGATTCATTTTTTAGGTCGAGTTTCAATTTGAAATTATTGAATATTTAAACTATTGAAAAGGGAAATTTAAACTGAATTTCAACCACTGGCAGAATATCGTTTTGTTTTCTTTTACAGAAATTGAAAAACAAGGGCACTTCCTCACGCTTTCAAATATTTTACATGCTTTTCTTACTAAACACAAATAAGCATATTACTTTATTCTCTCGAAATATACCTCAAGTCTGTGGAATTTTTAAAAGCACACTCTCTATACATGTACATCAAGTTAGAATTGATTCAGATAATAAACTGTATTTAAAGTTCAGATAAATAGGCCCTACTTAAAGATGACTCCAAAGAAAGATAAGGTATTTTTATCTATTTATATTTACGATTGATAAAGTGTCATGTATATTTGTGACAACTCATTTGTCATTTTATATATAGGATCGATAAATATGGATCTATTTAATGATAAATAATTACCTTTTCTTTACTATATAATGTACACTGTTTCTGATTGACGGATCGATAGGTGAGATGAAACTAATTATTTATTGCCGTCCAATGAATACAGATTTTAAAGGGATTAAACCAACAAGAAAATATTTTTAAAATGTTATTACAACTATACTGCATAAGAGTGGAATGTAAATATCTGTAACATGCAAATTTGCTTTTACCTGTCTTTCTTCATTTTTGGAAATATTAGTAAGTCTGTTATGCTCTGTTAATCTAAATTTTTACCTATAAAAAGGAATTCATGTTAAGGAACAAAATAATTCAAAAACCTAAACTGTTGACATTTTTTTTTTGTAATTTATATTTAGTTGAATCTCTTCCTAGAAACCTTAACGTTCACAGGCTCTTTGTCTATGAAATTTTATTTATGTGAAATATTTCTTAACTTTTGTCCATTATTATAAAATAAGAACGTACAAAAATCTTCTTATGTGTATGCATGTATGAAAAAATGCCCTTTAATTTCAATATTCTATGGTTATTATGAGAACCAGGAAAAAAAGATATTTTAATACTGCTACCCATCCGTAAAATATAGTCTCTACAAGATTTTAAATTCAAATTTAAAGTACCATAACTTTTTCAAGTTCTACAATCATGCAAGAGGAAAAAGTTTTTTGAAATCTTTGAAGTCCTTAAAATTAAATTATTTAAAAAAGCAAATATCCTTTATGTTTGTAATTTAACGAGAAACCAGATAAGAATATCTACTTCATGAGGCAAAGAATATTCTAGATGAACGCGTATGATGCGCAAATTTAAGATGTCTTCTTCATTTTTGGTTATTATCAATAACAGTGACCTAAAAGGCGAGATTGAAGAAACCTTTTGAATGAAATGTTACCAGACTTCATTCAGAAATTACAACCCTAATTATCTACTGTAAAGATAGATTTCTTTTATCAAAGATTGAATTTAACAGAGCTGCATAAATTAATAAAAAGATAATAAATATGAAGTGAAAAAACGAATTATTACTTAAAAGTACTAAAAATAAGGATGTGCATCTTATGCTTGAGAGGCACTGTAGAATTACTTCTTTTCTGCGTAGTATTAATTTACCTAATATGTACGCGGTCACAAATCTTCCGCGAATATTTGTACAAACGTTCTTAATATAAATGTAAGGCATATAGTGACAGTCTAGGAAATCCGCGTAATTTTCTACACGCAGATTAAACAGAAATTGAGATTCCGCAGAATTATGACGCCGTGGAAAAAAGTACGTCTACAGTAATCGACAATGTTTCCGTTTTGCAAAAATAAAAAAAAATGGTATACGAGGGTTGTTAGAAAAGTTCGCGGACACATTGAATAAACAGAAAAACTATTGTGTATTGGAAAGTATGACCTATGTCTGAACAAATTCCTACATTTTGTTTATTGGTATGTAAAGTCAGGTCCATATACTAAAATCTTGAAAATTTATAACAATCTTTACTATAAGGTCCTCGGATTCACGGAGCAATCACATGACTTACGGCGACGTGAGAACCAGATTTCAACCCGTTAAGCTTTGTCACATTATTATAATAAATCTTTCATTTCTTCAGATTTTTCTTATCTTATTCATACTTTAAGATTGAATATCTACATCAAGACATGATACTTTTCTAGTATAATGTCTTTTGTAGTGATTTTATTTTATTGAGATCTTCAAAAAGTCTATGCAGTTAATACTCAACGTCCATGGAATTAGGGAGAATTGGAGTATCGATAGAGTAAATTATCCAAAATGTTAATTCTTTCATTTATATAAGGTTACAACAATTTGAAAACCTTTATCCTTTGTATGTCTAGGAAATTCCCGGAAGCATCTTGAACATTTCAAATCTCTTTTTAGACATTTAGCAAATTTCATCAAAATAAAAAGGCTCCATATTCTTCAATAATCACTGGAGAGCATTTATATATTTATTGGAAAAAAGGTTACAATTTTATCTGGAAAGTTTGACTGGTTTCGTGGAAACAGCGCGCTCAGAAAAGAACATGTCCCCTCGTACATACATGTAATTTCCATAAAAAATGCAATCGATCAAAAAAGTATAAATGACATTTTAATGCTCAAACATAATTTAGAATCTATGATTTAGTATTTCTCCTCCTTTGAATTGTTTCATTTTAAGACTTCATTAATAATGCATAAACTGTGAGAGCTACAAGATGTACCATTAGTATATAAAGAAAAACTAATGAAAATAATGCAGAGGTGACTTTCATTAAGCAGACATGAACTGTGCAGTGTTTTTCTTCGTGATCTCTCTGTGTATATCTTTCGTTTATGGGCAAGTGATAAGTCCAGGAATTTGTCCAAGGGTCCCCACTGTGAATCCATTTGATATTAGACGTGTAAGTTTTATCTAATCATCGTATGAGCAGAATTTGTAGCGAGGATTTCATTTTTTGCCATTATGAGCGAGAGTATCGCTGAAAAAAAAAACTGTTTAATTTGTTGTAGCTTATTTGTTATGAATTCTAAAAATTGTGAATTTACATGTCGTTTAAAATAAGAATATCAGATTGTTTTCATTCCTTAATTGAATAAAAAGTTTTTTAAGGACAAATGGCTAAATTTGCTTCCCGCTCAAATTTCTACTTATAAGGAATATGACAATTTTAATTTGAAATTGCTTACCTATTCTAAGGGCCAGTGGGACCACTGAGAATCTTCATACGAAATACCTGCACAACCGCAGCTCTCTGCTTAAGGAAATTCGGACTGATAAATCAGAAAGCTGCAGGTCCATGCTTCGT